GCGAGCGCCATGGCTGCGTCGAGCCCACCCCAGGTCGCGGAGCTGCTGGCCCAGGCCCGGGCGGCCTTCCGGGCGGAGTTCGGGGCCGAGCCCGAGCTGGCGGTGTCGGCGCCGGGCCGCGTCAACCTCATCGGGGAGCACACGGACTACAACCAGGGCCTGGTGCTGCCCATGGTGAGGGCTGCGAGGGGACCCGAGCCTCCCTGGGGCCCGGCCGCCCCGTCGGGAAGGCGGGCCGGAGGGGCGCGGGGAGGCGCCTGGTCCCCGCGTGAACTGTGGGTCGGGCCGCGCCGAACTTCAACTCCAGCGAGTTTGGGGGCCGAGCACGTGGGAGGGACCCTGGGACGGGACGTTTCTCACGTAGGAAGGGAGGAAGGGCGATCCGAGAGGAAGTAGCCGGGAGGGGGTGTGCCGAGCCTCTTCGCTCCAGCTCGCCCTCTGTGGACCTTACCAGCAACCTGGGGGCCACTTCAAAATGTGGGCCCCCCCGTGTGTTGCACGTGGAAGGAGGTGCTTCAGACTCTGGCTTCCATGAGGCCCTGCAGACCCTGCGGGAGTAGCCCGAAGCCTCCAGCCTGGTCCCCGTACAGAGCGGGGACAGGCCCAGAGAGGGCTAGCGGTCTGCTCAAGGTCACACAGCCAGTGCTTGCTGGGGCTTCCAGGGGACCCAGGAGGCCCCCCGGCTCTCAGCCAGGGGTTCTTTGCACCCCACCCCGCAGCTTGGCAAGTGAGTGGGTACAGCACACCTGAGGTTACCCCCAAATGGGAAGGCGTCGGATGGAGCTCCTGATTCTGTTTTCCTTTTGAGCTCGCGGCTCCCCTGTGCCCACAGCTGGGCGCCCACGTGGAGGGCAGAGTCCAGGTGTGCTCTGTGCGCCGGTCCCGCCCCTGCAAATCCAGGGGGCAGGGCCTAAGCCCCCAAGGCCAGCTCAGCGCTCAGGCTCTTCCTGAGACACTGCCATTCCTTTCCTGTTGAGCCTGGAGGTCGCGCTCCTGTCTGTCCCAGGACCCACATTCCTCGGGACTTTCGTATGAGAGGGGCCTCATCCCTCCATCCCTCGGTCCCTCCGTCAGCTGGCGGGAGCTTTGCATACCCTTTGTGTCTCCTGCCAGGCGCTGGAGCTGGTGACCGTGGTGGTGGGCAGCCGCCGGGCAGACGGCCTCGTCTCCCTCCTCACCACCTCTGAGGGTGCTGACGAGCCCAGGCGGCTGCAGTTTCCCTTGCCCACAGCCCAGCGGTCCCTGGAGCCTGGGACCCCCCGATGGGCCAACTATGTCAAGGGAGTGATTCAGCACTACCCAGGTACGGGGCCCGGGCCTGGGTCAAGTTCAGCAGCCAAGAGCACCACCTCTGTCATAAAACCCATTAGAGCACCTAGTCCACTGTGGGGTAGGCTTGCAGGATAGAGCATCCCATTGTACAGATGGAGAAACTGACACCCTGAGAGGGTCCAGACCTTGCCCTGGGTTGCCCATTACCTGATTGGAGGAGTCAGGAGTCAAACCCTAACCTGTGGCCTCCGGAGCCCTAGACCAGGACTGGGAAGACTGTGTCCCAGGAACCTCAGGGTGGAAGGATGGAGGGCCGTGGGCCCCTTGGCCCAGCAGGTGGGTGGCCTTGGACAATTGAGACCCATTCCTGGAAGCAGAGATACAGTACGTGCCTCCCTGTGCCCATCCTCCCAGACGGCGCAACTGACCCTCACCCATTATTTCCCCCGCAGCCGCCCCCCTCCCTGGCTTCAGCGCGGTGGTGGTCAGCTCAGTGCCTCTGGGGGGTGGGCTGTCCAGCTCGGCCGCCCTGGAAGTGGCCACGTACACCTTCCTGCAGCAGCTCTGCCCAGGTACCTCCCAGAACCCAGCTCCCACCCAGCCTGCCCTCCCCGAGCTCTCCTGTGGTCGGCTTCCTCCGTGGCTCTCAGAGGGGGCGGGAACCCACCTGCCCCTCGTGCCCCCTCTCGGGCCCCAGCCTCCCCATCTCACCCTGCGCCACAGACTCGGGGACAATAGCTGCCCGGGCCCAGGTGTGCCAGCGGGCCGAACACAGCTTCGCAGGGGTGCCCTGCGGCATTATGGACCAACTCATCGCTCTGCTGGCGCAGAGGGACCACGCGCTGCTCATCGACTGCAGGTTAGGGGCTCCCCTTGCACCCCCCCACTTCTGGGCAGAGCACGTCCACTGCGGGACCTGGCGGGCAGACACTTGGCCTTGTCATCTCCCCACTCCACCTGCCTCCCAGGTCCCTGGAGACGCGCCTGGTGCCACTGTCAGACCCCAAGCTGGCTGTGCTCATCACCAACTCCAACGTCCGCCACTCACTGGGCTCCAGCGAGTACCCGCTGCGGCGCCGCCAGTGTGAGGAAGTGGCCCGGGCGTTGGGCAAGGAGAGCCTCCGGGAGGTGCAGATGGAGGAGCTGGAGGGTGAGAGCTGGCCGGGTGCGGTCTGTCCTGGAGATAGCGGGGCCCCCTGCCGGGGCTGCCGGGGCCTCATCCCCAGGACCCCGGCCGGCCATGCCTGCCCACTCCCCGAACACTGTTAACTTCGGGCCCCAACCCCAGCAGGGCTGCTTGCAATCTTAGTACCGCTGTTCCTAATGGGAGACCTGTGGACAAGTACAAAGAATAAGCACTAAGGCCACTACCGGGAGATAGTATATCTCCTTCCGGTGTTTTTCTACATCTGTATCTTCCAAGTGGAATCCCCCTTTGAAAAATGTTTTCAAAGTTGAATATTGTCACCCTCTCCCTTTATTTATTTATTTTTATTTTTTATTTTTTTTTAGAGAGAGGAAGGGAGAGTAGAGGAATAGAGAGTTAGAAACATCGATGAGAGAGAGACATCGATTCAGCTGCTTCCTGCACACTCCCTACTGGGGATGTGCCCGCAACCAAGGTACATGCCCTTGGCCGGAATCGAACCTGGGACCCTTCAGTCCGCAGGCCGACGCTCTATCCACTGAGCCAAACCAGTCAGGGCCCTCTCCCTTTAAAAAAACTAACATTATTGTATGCCATGAAAGGCCCATCAACATGGCTTTTATAAGCTATATAATATTCTGGCATCCAGGTACATGGTAATTTACTTAATCACTTTTTTTTAAACTTTTTTTAAAATATATTTTTATTAATTTCAGAGAGGAAGGTAGAGGGATGGAAACATCAACAATGAGCCCGGCCAGTGTGGCTCAGTGGTTGAGCGACGAACTATGAACCAGGAGGTCACGGTTCGATTCCTCGTCAGGGCACATGCCCAGGTTGCAGGCTCAATCCCCAGTAGGGGCATGCAGGAGGCAGCTGATCAATGATTCTCTCTCATCATTGATGTTTCTTTCCCTCTCCCTTTCTCTCTGAAATCAATACAAATATATTTTTAAAAAACAAAACAAAAAACATCAACAATGAGAGAGAATCATTGATTGGCTGCCTCCTGCACGCCCCTTACTGGGGATGTGCCTGCAACCCGGCATGTCCCCTTGACCGGAATCGAACCTGGGGACCCTTCAGTCCTCAGGCCGAAGCTCTATCCACTGAGCCAAACCAGCCAGGGCTTTAACCACTGTTTGATAATTATACCTGTGATGAGCGTTTTAGCCATGTCTTCCTCTGCATTCTCCTATTCTTAGGATTAGATTCCTAGGAGTAGGCTCACCGAGTGAGAAGTTTTCAGGTTCTGATACACATGGCCAGGAAGGTAGTCGATTTAAGTAGCAAGGGGCCCTGGTGCTCGGGGCTGCGGCTTGCCCTCTCCCCTCAGTGTGTGTGTGTGTGTGTGTAAGCCTGCTGGTTCCTGGTGTGCCCTGTGCCCTTGCCTGTGCCCCTCCTGTCCCCACCTCTGGAGCCCAGCCCTTGGAGGCTCCGTGTGGTGCCCTCCTGCTCTCCCTCCCGCGGCCTCCAGGAGGCAGCATTGTGTCCCACTCACCTTGGAAGCCCCGGGTCTGGGACTTTAACTGCCGGATAAGAGCACCCACTGTGTGCCACGCGCCCTGCCGGGAGCTCTGCAGGTGTCAGCCCACCTGGTCCTGGGCGCCCCGAATCGGGTGGGTGCCCCACTACACAGCTGAGGGGAGGCGCTGGGAGCTGAGTGACCAGCCCAAGGTTCTACCACGGCCTGGCCAGAGCCAGGCCTCCCACCGGAGGCTCCCCCACCCCCTGGAGCCACGGTGCCGTCCCCCATGTCCGCAGGGGCCCTCGCCAGTGGGTGGCGGTCTGCTGACCCCTTTCCTCCCCAGCGGGCAGAGATCTGGTGAGCAAGGAGGGCTTCCGGCGGGCGCGGCACGTGGTGGGGGAGATCAGGCGCACGGCCCAGGCAGCGGACGCCCTCAGCCGGGGCGACTACAGAGCCTTCGGCCGCCTCATGGTGGAGAGTCACCACTCCCTCAGGTGAGGCCCCCGGGCACCGGGCACCGGGCACAGGCTGTCCCCCGGGCCGGTGGGCTGGTCCCAGGCCCGCCTGCATCTCCTCTGCAGGGATGACTACGAGGTGAGCTGCCCGGAGCTGGACCAGCTGGTGCAGGCCGCGCTGTCTGCGCCCGGGGTTTATGGCAGCCGCATGACGGGCGGCGGCTTTGGCGGCTGCACGGTGACTTTGCTCGAGGCTTCCGCGGCCCCCCAGGCCATGCAGCACATCCAGGTGGGTGGACGCTGGGGCCGGGGCGAGGCGGGAAGCAGGTTCCCAGGGCCCCGCCGAGCTCAGGCCTCTTCCTCTCCCACGGCGCAGTATAGCGGTACCGCCACCTTCTACCCTCTCCCAGGCCGCCGACGGTGCCCAGGTGCTGCCCTTGTGAGCTCCCCTGGGGTGGCCACGCGGGCAGGGCCTGCCGGGCAGCAAGCAGGAAGCTCCGTGCTGCTGGCGCCTTCCCTCCGCACCTGGGCGCTCAATAAACTTGTGCCTCAGACCAGGACCTCTAGAGGTGGTGTGTGCTTGGCCAGCAGAGAAGGGGGTGTCCGACCCGCTCCCCGGCTCTGGGCAGGCCCCCGAAGACTGGGCAGGGCGGAGCCACACGGTAGCAAACTCTTTTATTAAGTGCAGAACAAAGCTGGGTGCTTGTCATGCTGGTCCCGGCTTACAAATGGTTACAAATGCGCTTGGGTGGGATGGGAGTGGGGCAGCCACAAGGGCCTTCTGGGACCTCTGCCCCCTACATGCCCCCCAGAGGGCACCTACCCCCAGAGGCTCTGGTCCTGTGATCAGCATGCGGGTGGGTGGGGCCACCAGGGGTCCAAGGATGGTGTAGCTGAGGCAGCACCGGGGAGGGGGGTGGGCAGTGGGGGCCCAGGTTCGAGGACGCCTGGTCGCGGTGGGGAGCTCAGGTCTGGAAGAACTGCTGGTCGACCTGGCTGCCGAGGGTCCCACTGGTGGTCAGCGTCTGGCTCACAAACTCCTGGGTCACGTGCCGGGTGAGGGAGCCGCCTGCCTCCAGGCCCCGGGGCCCCAGGGTCAGTCCGTCTGCAGGGGAAGAGGCGTTGAGCCACCTGTCTAGCTCCCTGCCCTCTTTGTCTGTTAGCTCTGTCTCCCCCAGGAGCGCCTGGGCCCCCACCCGGCCACTCACCCAGCAGGAAGGGCTCGGCGGTGCTGGTGTGGGTGGTGATGCTGCTGTACTCGCCTGGCAGTGGGTGCTGGTAGAGCCCGGACAGGACACCCAGCTGTGGGAAGGGGCCTGGAGGGACAGACGAGCCCCTCAGGGGATGGTGCCAGGAGGTGCGGTCAGAGAAAGGATGGGGGTGCGAAGGGGCAAGGTGCCCTACCTCCATCCTGGGACTCGATGGTGATGATACCCTCACGCTCCGGCCCAAAGCCCTGAGTGGTCCTGGCCTGCACCTTGAACTTGTAGGGCACGTTCTCCCGGAGGCCCGGCACCGTCAGCCTGCTCTCAGTGCAGTCACCATCCACCTGGAATGTAATGGCTGGCTCTGGGCCGGGGAGAAGCCTTTAGCCTCCGTGGCTCCCTCTCCACCACCCCTTGGCCACCCCTGACCCCGGGGGCGGGCAGCACCTCCTCCGTGGGCCATCTCACACGTGACCATGTAGCCCAGGATGTCTCCGTCAGGCCTGCGCGGCCGCTCCCAGCTCAGCTGCAGCGAGTCTGGGCTCAGGGCCGTGAACACCAGTGGGCCCGGGGCGCTGGGCGTGCTCAGGGTGAAGGCGGAGCCTGGGGCAGCGGAGGGAGAGGGCGGCGTGTGGATCTAGCACATCTGTAGAAGCAGGGGTGGGGGTGGGGGCAGCCGGGGGGTGGAGGGGGAGCAGCTCACCTGGCAGGGGTAACAGCGGGCTCTGAGGGTGCACCTGTGACTCAATGGTGATGACACCCTCGCGCTCGGGGCCCCAGCCTTCCTGGCTCTGGGCCCGCACGCGGAACACGTAGGAGTGGTTGGGCAGAAGGTCTTCCACCACCACGGAAGTCTGCCCGGGGTTGGGGATGTGGAGCCGATGCAGCTCACCTGGAGTGGGGTGGGGTGGGAGCAGCTTTATTCCCACTCCTGGCCTGGTCCTCCCCCCGGGCTGCTGCCAAGACTGGCCAGCACCCACCCAGGAGCAGCGGGTTGGGGCCAGCCTGCTACGGTCCATGGGTCAGGTTGCCGCCACACAAGGGAAGCGGGGCCTGAACTCCTATGGCCCAGGTCATGCTGCTGAGAGTTTGTCGGCCCAGAAAAGTGCCGGTTCCCACAAAGGCATCTAGGCCAGCAGAGGGCCTGGGTCCTGGGGCCAGTGAGGCCTCGTTAGGCAACATCTTGCCTGGGGAGTAACCTGGGGAGCCCCCGGAAGTGGTCGAGGGCCCAGAAGGGCACCGTGCGGGGCATGGAAGTGAGACCCTCTCAGGCTGGGTGGTGGGTTCCTGCCACAGCCGAGTGCCCCTGGTGTCACATGTGGCCGGGCCTCACCGCCGTTCAGCAGCTGGTACTCCACGCTGTAGCCCTGCAGCGCCCGCTCGCACTGCGGCTCTTGCCAGCTCACTTTCAGAGACGTGGGCCCCAGGGCTGAGAACACCAGGCGGGTGGGGGTGTTGGGCAAACCTGCAGCCAAGCGGGAACCTGGAGACAGGAGGCCACCGTCAGCCTGGCTCAGGGTCCCTGGGCAGGAGCCCAAGCTCAGCTCCTGACCTCCCTCAGCTGTCGCACCTACAGTGACTGCTGGCCAGGTGGCTCGCTCACCCGGCAACAGCCTGTCCAGGCCCCCAGCACCTCCCGCCTGTCCTCAGGGTGGGTGTGGGCCCTGCCTGTGCCAAGCGCCGTGAGCCCCCACCCTCGGCTGGCCTGGCCCGTCCTGCCCCAGCCCGGCACCCCTGGGAAGGCGAGGCGGTTAGGCATCAGCGCTGACGTGGATGGAATGGAGGGGATGCAGGGTCACGGGCAGTGACTGCGATGGTGTGGATGACAGATGGAGCAGGACAGCTGTGGAGACACGATGGCCACGCTGGACTACCTGGGCCCCAAGGGGGCGCTGCTGGCTGCGCAGCCAGGATTATAGAGTCTGGTGAGTCCCTGGAAGGGGGGAACCCCTTCATCTGAGCCCGACTCCAGGACCCCAAGGTCCAAGACAGCGGAAGCCTGCTCCTCCCGCCTTCCCAGATGGGAGGGAGGCCTAGGGTGGGACAAAACAGGAGTGAGGGGGCAGGAAGTATGTGTGTGTTGGGAGGATGGGCGGGGGGACAGCAGGCCGGAAGCCCAAACCTCCAGGAGCCGGAAGAAAGGAGGGGTCAGCCTGGCCGGCGTGGCTCAGTGGTTGAGCATCAACCTATGAACCAGGAGGTCACGGTTCGATTCCCGGTCAGGGCACAGGCCCGGGTTGCGGGCTTGATTCCCAGTGTGGGGCGTGCAGGAGGCAGCCGATCAATGATTCTCTCTCATCATTGATGTTTCTATCTCTTTCTCCCTCTCCTCTAAAATCAATTAAAAAATTTTTTTTAATTTAAAATAATATATTTTAAAAAGAAAGCAAGACAGGAGGGGTCCGCGGGAGAGGCGGGGCTGGGGTGCACTCACTTTGCGAGGAGAGGGAGGTGAGGGTGGAGTAGTCCCTGGGCAGCGTGCCCGAGTGCTCCGTGCGGGTCAGCGAGTGGTAGTCCCTGGTGAGGGTGGAGGAGGTGCTGAGCACGCGGTGGGGCAGGTGCGGGCTCAGGTGGGTGCCGTAGGAGGCGTTGGTCGTGGCCATCCTGTGCAGGGAGTTGGCGCTGCCCGGGAAGGCAAAGTCCATCCGTCCATTGACCAGGTGCTCTGCAGGGGAGAACAGGGTCACCGGGGCAGGCCAGCACCGGGAAGCCCTGGGCGTTCCGGGTCTGCCTGTCCACTAGGGGCCCCCCTTGGCCCACGAGGGACAGAGGCCCGGTGTCCCTGGAGGAGTCCAAGGGGCCACACGGGCTTCTGCAGCCCGCGTTCTCCGGCCAGGCACCCGGCCGGGCACCAGGCCACTAGGACAGGCTGAGCCCCGCTGACCCAGTGGACACGCGCTGCCCAAATGCTGCCCTAGGGGTGCTTCGGCTCCGGGGGGAGGGGAGGAAGGTCTGCCTCCAGCCCTCGCTCAGCCCCTGGCAGGGGCGGGGCCTTAGTGGGCAGCCTGGCCGCGAGCCCAGGTGGGTGCGGGGTCGGGCTGGCCGGTCACCTCCGCCCTCCCCCACGGCTCCCCCAGCGCCCCCTTCGGCGCCGTCGTCCGGGGGCCCGTGGGGCAGCTCGGTGGCGTCGGAGGACCGCCCGCTGCTGGCGGACAGGCGCGGGATGACCTCCGGGGGCAGCCGCCACGTGACGCGCCGCAGGTCCAGCTCCTCCCCCAGCAGGGCCTCGAACTTCCAGCCGCCGCCTTGGGAACAACGAAGGGCGCGTTGGCACCGCCGGCGGCGCGGGAGGGTGCGGGCGGCGGAGCGGTCCTCGGGCTCTTTGGGATCCAGGTGGGGGTGGGAGGGGGTGCACGGCAGGGACGGGGCGCCAGGCGCAGGCCCTTCTCCCGCGGACGCGCAGAAGAGCCCTGCGATGCGCTAGTGCAGCCTGGGGGGCAGCGGATAAGGAGAGACCCTGGGCCAGCCCGAGACAGGGGCTGTGAGGGCTCCCTGCTCTGAGCCTCAGTTTCCCTTCTGTATAATGGAGAGAGCGATCTCTTCCTTGCCAGCCTCCCGGGGGACAGTTCCCGAAGCCGGAATGTTGGGGGGGGATCAGTAGCAGTTGAACCGGGGCTCCTCTTGCCCCCAGACCCTGAGCCCTCTCAAGACGCCCAGGCTGAGTTCCTTAAGCCCAAGCTCTGCCTGGTCAGGGCAGGAATGTGGTCCCTGGGGCCTGAGGCACAGACAGGAATGAAAGAAAATACAGTCCTGGAGGATCTGCACTCATGGCATTGTTTGAGGGCATCCCATTGCACAGATCAGAAAACTGAGGCACAGAGCCCGTAAGTGATTTATCTGAATTCCTGCAGTGGAGCCAGAAGCTCAAACTGTGTAGCTGGGGATCCCAGCTGAGGGCTCTTTGCGCCGCAGTAGGAACAGGGCAAGTGGCTGCCCCAGGCCTCCTGGCCACGCCTGCCTCCTCCCTCACAGCCCTGCCTCTGGGAGGCCGCCCGGGGGTCCTGACCCCATGGCCCAGCTGGTGAGCCTTTCGGCTGCAAAGCTGTGTTTCCGTGTGGTCCCGTGGGCGTGAGTCGAGCACGTCTGCCCCAGCAGGTGTCTCCCTGTCTCCTGCACAGACGTGCACGTGTTTGCACCTGTGCCGTGCGGGCTTGTCCCTGTCAAACTATTGACCTGAGAGAGTTTGACCTTCATGCCCAGAGGTCACGGGCCCCTTTGTTCTCTCTGGACACTAGTGACAGCCCCACCCTCTACCCGGACCCCCACCTTCCTCTCGGGGATCCTACTCACCTGTGTCGTCGGAGACGCTGGGCCTCTGGCTGCCAGATGGGGAGCGGAGGACTTCGTCGCTGTACATGAGGTAGCCCTCATAGTCTTCCCCGCCCTGCGCGTCCACGATGGGGATGTCGGGGATGATGGGGACTGCAGGGGAGGGAGGGTGAGCCAGAGCCCCGTCTCGGCCTCCTGCGCCCCGTCTGCCCCCTGCCTCCCGTCCCCCACTCACTGGACATGGGCCGCTTGGGCTGGGTGGCCAGGTTGATGATGGCCTCCCGCTCGGGCCCCCAGCCCGCCCCGTTGCGCGCCTTCACCGTGTAGCGGTAGGGCTGGGACTCCCGCAGGTTCTCAATGAGCAGCATCCGCTTCTTGGGGGTGTCCACCAGCACCTTCTTCATGGGCCCGATGGGTCCTGGGCGGGGAGAGTGCTTCAGAGGGGTCGCCCAGGTCCCGCCTGGCCCCGGCCTGCCTCTGACACAGCAGGACAGGAATGGCACCCGGGGGCTCCGGGACAGGCAGGGAGTGAGCAGGACTGAACCCCTGCGGGTGCCAACCCCTGAGCACCGGGCGTGACTGTCGCCGACTCTCCAAAGGGCTCATCACTAAGCTAAGTGGCAGCATCAGGCCTAGACTCAGGGTGGCCCCAGTGTCACCTCTACTAATTGGTAAAGGATCCTGGGAGACCAGCCAACATCTCCGTTTCCAACTCGGCCCAAAGGAGGTTGTGGAAAATGACACCTCATACCCTTGGTGTCCACCCCAGCCAAGGACTAGGCTCAAAGGACTATGACAGGGGTGGGCAAACTTTTTGACTCGAGGGCCACAATGGGTTCTTAAACTGGACCAGAGGGCCGGAACAAAAGCATGGATGGAGTGTTTGTGTGAACTAATATAAGTTCAAAGTAAACATCATTACATAATTTTTTAGTTTTATTCATTTCAAACGGGCCGGATCCGGCCCGCGGGCTGTAGTTTGCCCACGGCTGGACTATGATGAAGACCCATCAGCTTGAGGGGGGGGTGGGGGGGGATCTCTAACTCCAGGGCCCAGCCCCTTGCATCCGCTCAGCTGGTGGGAGCAGGGGAGAGGGCACCGAAGTGCTGATGCCCTCGGGCTGGGCCCCACATTCAAGCTGAGGCCGTGCGCTGAAACCCCCCGCCATGAGCTTCTGTCGGGGTGCCTGTCACCCCTGGGATGACAGGCAGGGTCAGAGGCGACCTCCTGACAGGGACTCAGTGCTGTGAACTCAGAATGAGCCAAGGATGTGACGCGGGTGCTGAGGAGGTTGTGCGTGGTGTGCCTGGCTGGCAGAGCCACGAGCCCGGTGCCCAGCACCACCAACCCCGCTGCCCTCTGCCCAGTGGGCCACCCAGGCGGCTGAGCCTGACCCACGCAGGGGCCACAGGTCAGAGGGGGTGGTGAGCTCTCCATCCTGGGACTGACCACCCAGAGGCGAGGGTGCGAGGAGGAGGTCCCTGTACCAAGTGAGGGTTTGGACCAACTTCCTCCAGTACTTTCTCATCTGGAAGATTGGCAGGGATCGCCCACACTTGCCTCTCTTCCCAGACTGGCTCTGCCGGCCTAGGGCCGCCAGAAAACGTGCCATGAAATGTACTAAAAAACTTGTTTATCGGAAATTCAAGGTGTCCTCAAGGTGTCCTCTGTTTTTATTTGCTAAGTCTGGCAACTTGACTCTGCCCTCAAGAGAATGGTGTAAAAACTAGCCTCTCTGGTTACCTGTATGGGAAGGCACCTCTGCCTGTGAGCCCGCGGCACATGTGTAACCTCCCGCCTTCCACCCCCTCCAGCCCCGGAAGCTTCTGGGCCTGAACCAGACCATAAACCGAATGACGCCTCAGGCGACCAGATGCAGGGGCTCATCCACTGAGCAGGACAACGTGGCCTCCCTCCCACTTTTGGCCCCTCCCCTCCCTCGGCTGCCACCCCGGGGGCGGAAGGGGGGGCGGAAGGAGGGGCCTTACGGTTGTCCTCATTGACCAGGCCGTAGCAGACCTCGTAGGCCGTGATCTCGCCGTTGGTCTCGGAGGGCTCAGCCCAGCTCAGCTGGGTCACGGTGGAGGAGACGACGTTGAAAGCCAGACGCCCTGGCTCATTGGGTACTGGGCGGGGGGTGGGCAGGAAGAGAGCTGTCAGTGGCAGAAGAGGGCGGAGATCTGGGAGGTAGGGGGCAGGGCTGGGCAGACAGGCTTCGGGGTATCACAGGGATGGACGGCTGGTCTGGCGAGGCCTCACCTTCCTGGTGGGTGCGGCAGGACACCAGGGAGCTGTAGGGGCCGTCGCCCTGCGTGCCAAAGGCGCACACCTTCATCTCGTAGTCGCAGTACGGGTACAGGTTGGTGAGCTCCACCGAGGGCACCTTGCTCTCCAGCACGTGGGCTTCGGAGTCGGAGTCCCCCTGGATCCAGTACCTCACCTGCTCGGGGGGAGGGGCTGGTCAGGGGGGAAGTGCGAGTGCCAAGCAGCTGGGACCGCCATTGACCTGCTCTACTGTCCCCTTTGCACACGTCAGACACCAAGGATCGGAGAGATTGAGTGACCTGCCAGGTTCACACAGCCGGGCTGGGGGGGGAGGGGGGGCGCCTGGGGGACGGAGGGGCCATGTTCCAGGAAGGAGGGAACATATCTGAAAGCTCCCTGGGCACAGAGGCTCGGCCCACCGGGGCCCACCTGCCCTCGCTCAGCCTCATGGCCCTCTGGCCCTGGGAAGCCACCTCCCCATCCACCTCCCTCATCGGCCCTCTGCCTTACCCTGTACCCTGTTGGTTTGCCAGGAGGGGGCAGCCAGTTGAAGTGGATCTTCCGAGAGCCGGCGGCTTTGGCGTTGGGGTTCTGTGGGGCGCCCAGGACATTGTGGGAGACTGGGAATGCAGACTGGGTCTGGTTCTGGAAGGTCAGGTCCAGTTCGTCTGTAGTGGGTGAAGCCAGGGCGGGGCAGCCAGTTGGGATATTCCCTCACCCAGCAGAAACTCACTCTCACCACCAGGGGGCGCAGGAGGCCCAGCGCAACACCCAGCTGTGATGGACTGACACCTGCCCTGCAGTCTCCCTCCACCGGTGCCCCCACGGGGCCGCAGGGGGCATCCTGCCAAGCTTGGTGGACCCAGGAGGGTCTTTGGAGAAAGGAGGAGGAGGAGGGAGGTCGTCTGGCAGCCAAGGGAATGTTCCCCACGAGGACATCTGCTCCTCCTCCCAAGAACCCTCCCTCCTCTCCCATTTTCCCCACAAGCGCCTCTGGAATTGTTAAATACCAGGAGGCCGAGGACCCATCAGACTAACCCTTTCACCCCTAAAGCGGAAGTCAGAGGGCCTAATCCTGGGGTTCACGATGAGCGTCGGGGTGCCAATAAAATGCAGGAGCCTGGACACATTTGAATTTCAGATAAGCAACCAATGCTTTCCTCAGGGTAGGACTATCCTAAATGCTGCAGGGGACAGACTGAAGCCGCACATGTGCTGGTCGGCTCTGAAGTGGAAGCGTGGCTGGGCGCCCTGCATTTTTGTTCGCCGAGACCGGCAGCCTTCGAGGAGAGAGCCCCAGCCTCCCCTCACCGCCTGCCTAAACGGACCCCAGGCTCTGCCCACCTCGGTCCCCGATGACGACCGTGGCCGAGTGGGGCTGGCCCAGGCGTGCCCCGAACTTGGGGTTGCTGAGTTGGATGTTGAAGCGGCGGACCTGGCGGCTCCGCAGGAGGGAGTCCACCTCCTGCAGCTCCAGGAGCTTCACCTGCAGCTCCTTCCAGGTCTCCCCGGGCTGGAACAGCAGCTCGCCCTCCGTGGGGATGTAGTCCTGGGAGTGGGAAAGGGGTCAGACCGGCCACACCCCCACCCCGACCTCAGGGACGCTGCGGACCATCACACGCAGGCTGTCCCACGTGGACATGCGTGGCTCGGTTCACAGGGCACCTCCTGTGCACCGCTGGACAAATATCAGCTCATTTCATCCTCAGCAGTGTGAGGTAGAGAGAGTACTGTCCCCATTTTATAGACGAGGGACTGAGGCCCACAGAGGGGCAGGAACGTGCCCAAGTTCACACAGGCAGTCGTGGGGGAGCCAGGACTTGAACCAAGCATAGAGACAGGGATGCACCGCAGATCCGAGTCCCCCACAGGCAGGCGCTCATCCCGCGGAGCCGGGATTTCAGGTCCCCACACTGTGGCTCTGAGGTCTAGGACCCTGCCAGCCCCCCGGCCCTGCCTGCTGGGTGGGGCGCCTCTATCGGCTCCGGCTTCCCACCCCCAGTGCCCCAGAGCTTCCCTGAGCGCCCCACGTGTGCGCAGGGAGTGAATCAACTGAAACGGTGGGGCGGCAATGCTCACATCGGACCACTAGGTGGCGCTCCGACACCAACATTTCAATTCCAGGCACAGCTGGTCAGGCCCTGTGCCTACCAGGCAAATTCAAGCGCTGCAAAACCCAGCAAGCGAGACAGCGAGTGTAAGAAAAGCTGGAGTCGCCTGCAGGTCAAATGACGTGGGCTGGCGGGGAACACAAAGCTGGGAAATACTCGGGATTAAAGGAGCCTAAAGACACACGGCCTCGGCCGCGATGCCCGCTCTCTGCTTCCTGGAGTGGGAGAGGCAATCATGGACACACTGGGACACGTGCGCACAGGGAGCTCCGAATACGGACTAATTATTAGGCGCGAGCATGATGGGAAGTTTCCTAAGTGGTAATTAGCTTGTAGTTCTGCAGGAGGAATGGCAGGTGCTGCAGACGTATTTAGGGCCACATGAAATCTACAGTTGTGGAGAGTTCAGCACATAGAACGAAGCCAGATCCTCTCTCCCTCCTCCCTACAGTCATACAGATGTGGAACTGTACATACGTCTGTATCCACATCATGCATGGATACCTAGATCTGTATAGAAAGAGAAAGCAGATAGTAACAGCTGGTGGATCTATCTAAAGCGCACACATATGCTAATTTTATTAGTCTTTCCATTTTTCAGGAGGTTTGATGTTTTTCAAAATAAAAAGTTGGGAAATAATAAAAAAAAATTTTTTTAAATTGCTAAATACCAAAAGCATTTTTATAAAAGCCTAACAGGACAGCTGGAATCTCTTGAATATTTATGGCCTATTCCGTGAAATTTCTAGACATACAAATTCTCCCTTGGAATTTTTATTGGGAGCATTGAATCAGGAATGAAAACCGTTCCTCCCGATAAAAGGAAGATTCGGGTGTGGCCGGGCTGCCGGACCTGCTGAGTGCATTCTCCCTGCCTTTGCCAAATGGCCCTGTGGGCCCAGTAAGACTAGATTTTGTTTTTTGAGTTAATTTTTGATTGGAATATTTTTAATTTTTAAATGTTGGCAATAAACTCAGAAACACAAACAAACAAACCTGCAAGTCAAACCCCGCACATTCACCTACAGGGGTCCAGGGACCCAGGCAGCCGCCATGTCCGCGCCCCCCACTGTGCCCTCAGCCCCAGGGCGGAGCTTACCCGGTTGCCCTGCGCCGTGTTGTCCTGTGTGCGGTAGGAGACCTGGGACTTGCCGTTGTCCAGGATGCGCCGGACGACGGGAATGCGGGCCACTTGCTCACTGGCACTGACCAGGTACTCAGGCTGCTCAAAGGACACTATCCCGTTGGCTGCAAGGGGCCGGCAGAGTTAGAGGGTCCAAACCTCAGCCCCCTCTCCACTCCCCCGCCCGCCGGCCCCGCCCAGCCCAGACTCCAGGAGGCTGCCTGTCACCCTCACCCCACACTCTCTGGGGAGGGCCGAGGAAGGGGATGGGCCACTTTTCCAGAAAAAGTTGAAGGGGCTGGGACAGTGTCCAACAGACACCCTGGAGGGGCCAGGGCAGAGAAAGGAGGCCGGGTGGAGGCACAGGGGGCCCACTCCTTCCTGCTCTGATGGCCTGGCATTTCAGGGAGGTCCAGGCAACGGCCTGGTTCAGAGGCCGGAGGGGAGGGAGCAGGGAGGGATGGGGGATGGCTCCAGGCAGACCCAGCACCCATGAGCGAGTGTAACGGAAGCTCCGCGCAGAGCTGTGCAGCCGCACACTCCGTGTAAAAGCCCGAAGCCCATTTTACAGATGGAGAAACCAAGGCTCGCAGAGGTTAAGTGACCTGCCCAGGCCACACAGCCAGGCCCCACTCCCACTCGAATACAAGGGCCCAGCTCCCCATTCTTATTTTATTTTTTATTGATTTTAGAGAAGAAGGGAGTGGGAGGGAGAGAGAGAAACATCAATGATGAGAGAGAATCATTGATCGGTTGCCTCCTGCACGCCCCCCACTGGGGATCGAGCCTGCAACCCAGGCATGTGCCCTTGACCGGAATCGAACTTGGAACCCTTCAGTCCGCAGGCTGACACTCTATCCACTGAGCCACACCAGCTAGGACCCCAGGCTCCCCTTTTGCCTCCTTGCTCCCCCCACACTGACCGACCTTGCTCCTTGATGATGGTGATGTTCACCAGGCGGCGGCCGAGGGTGGCGGTGCCCATGGGCACGTTGAGGGCCTCCACCAGCAGCTGCTTCTCATCGTCGTCCTCCGGCCGGATGAAGAGGGGCACCCGGACGTCCACCAGCTCCACGCCCTCCTGGAACTCCACCATGCCCCGGGCGTCTGGGTGGGTGGGGGCGGTCAGAGGTGGGGCCACACGGGGTGGGAGGGGACATGAGTGGGGGGGGGCGCTGCCCGCTTACCCTGGTCCGCAGTGAGGGTGTAGTACCCCGGGGCCACCTTGAGCTCGTGGAAGGCCCGCTGGGCCACCTGCTTCTCCGTCAGCTTCAGCAGGGCCTGCTTGGCCGAGCGGGGAGCCATCAGCACCGTGTCCACAATGGTGTGGTCCTGCCTGGGGGAGGGGTCAGGCGGAAAGGGGTCAGGCTGGCCAGGAGGTGGCTCTCGTCCCTGTCATCAAGGGGCAAGATGTGGGGCAGCAAAACAGCGCAGGTTCTTCAGAACCAGGCCCATGCTGGCCCCACCCCCGCACCCCGCAGCCTCAGCCCAGCCCTGTGCCTCCCCGAGCCTCGGTGACCTCCTCTGTGAAATGGGCTATTCTCGCCCAGGAGATGCAGGCAGCAACGATGCTGAGGGTGTAGGCGCTAAAGCCTGGGTTCAAATCCTGGCCCGATTTTCTTCCTTCTTTCTTTTTTTTTTTTCAATCCTCATTCGAGGAAATTTTTCCATTGATTTTTAGAGAGAGTGGAAGAGAGAGGGAAAGACAGAGAGAAATATTGATGTGAGAGAAGCACATCGATTGCGTCCTGTACGCGCCCTGACCAGGGCCCAGGCTAGGGAGGAGCCTGCAACCGAGGTACGTGCCCTTGACTGGAATCGAACCTGGGACCCTTTGGTCTGCAGGCCGATGATCTATCCACTGAGCCAAACTGGTTAGGGCCTGGCCCTATTTCTTAACAGCCAGGTAACCTCAGGCAAGTTACTGAACCTCTTTTAGCCTCGGTTTGCAGGGGGCCACCTGGTCCTGACCCCTTGGTCTACCTGTTTGTACAGGAGTGGCTCATAGTAGGACTCATGTCAGTATTTCTCGAATGAAGGTCCTACCCCGTGACAGACATACGGGATGGAAAGGGGGTGGGGGTGGGGCTATCCCACCCTAGTCTTCAACTCACTTTTTCCCGGCGTTGGGCTGCTGCCTGTGGGGACAAGAGGGGACGTGAGCCAGGGGGCCTGGGGCAGCCCCCGCCCCCACCCCGGCACCCAGGGCAGGACGCACCGGAACTTGGTCTGCTGGAGCTTGTGCGAGCCTGCGATCTGTCTGTACACCTCGTTCAGCTGCCAGGCAAGGGCGGGCATGAGGCTGGGGCCCCGGGCACACAGTTCCCAGAGGACCTGCCCAGGCTGGCTATGCCCCCCCCCCCCATGGGCACGCCCATGGCCTCATCCCTGCCAGGAACCGCCCAGAGGGAACAGATCCCAGGAGACTCCAAGGAGGCCCCTGTCCGACGGGCACATCCAGGTCCCACGGCGCTTGCCCGGGGCTCTCCCCCCACCAGGTCTCGCCCAGGCCCGAGCGGGAGCGGCCGCTGCCCTTACGTTCTCCTCCACCTCCTGGCGCAGCTGGTCACATTCCCGCGTGTCCGGCTTCAGCAGGTTCTCGGTGCAGAGGCGGGCGAGGCGCAGGGACAGCCCGTAGGGCACTGGGGGCGAGAGGGAGGAGCCGTTAGCTCCCTGCACGGCGGCACCACGGAAGCCCCCAACTGGCTGGCTGGTGGCCGGAGCCTGTAGCACCATCACGAAGGGCAGCAGGGGGCCAGGCCCGTGCCCCACACCCAACACTCGGAGAAAACAGGAATGGCGGGATCCCTGGACCCGGAACGGCAGTGAACGTTGCCCCCGGGGCCACGGGGAACCGCCAAGGGCCGCAGCACCCCAGCCCGGGCCCTTCACCCAGCTCCGTGGGGGTTGGTGCTTGGCAGCGTGGGTGGCAAAGCCGGGGCCGCTGCACGTTTGTTGGGTGA